ATGTAAAGTTTTTCACAGTTTTTACAATTGATTTTATACACAACACCAGTTGACAGGTCTTGATTGAATTTGTCCTTCGGTTTCTTCAGGATCGAACCAACCGTTTTGAGGGGTTTATGAGCAACATTTACGTCGAATTGTTCCAAAGTTCTTGCAATTTTTTCAGAGATTCCTTGAAAATATGGGAAAGTAACAAAGCCTCTGTGGCTTTGAGGCTGATTATTTTGGGGGTGATTTAATGCTTTAGGTGGTTTGGTTCTTTGGCAGCTTTTTAAGAATTGGTCCGTGTAATTCAATTAATGACCACGTGCATATTCCAGACATTTACAAAATGCTAAATTAATCCCTAGTGAGTTCCTCACATTCTTATAAACATCTCATTTACATTTAGACACAGTTAACATTCATTTCATCACTGAAGAAGGTTATAGTATTTTAGCTGAAACGTCTATTTTTAAGATTTTTAAGTCAGTGACAACAATTTTTAAGATTTTATGGTGGTATTCTTTAGAGCCTTATCTTACATCAACATGTACCTGCAGTCAGTTATGATGTTATCTTAGTCTGGGTAATTTCTTACCTGTCCAATTATAAGAAAGTAACTCTCATTTGGAATGTTTTATTTCCTTTATCATAGGAACAACTATTATCAACCGGCTAGCTCTCCCCAAAATGCAAACAAGGTGTGTGCTTATGATTAGAAAACAGCCTTGATATACCTTGCACTTTTCTCTGTACCACTGCCAATAATAAATTGATACAACATGAAACAGTGCACATGTACATGACATTGTGTAGCTGCAGTAGAAACACTCACTTATATTCTGAATCATTCAAAGTTCACTCAAACTTCTGCTAGTTTCTTAGTGAGAAAGCTCTAAACAAAATTGACAATTTATTTTATTATAATATTTGGTACAAATTTCATTGCTATTAATAATAATATTATTGTTCTACAGCTTATGGCCAGAGTGAAACCAAGCCCTGTTTTAGGTAATTGAGATTATTAATAAAAACTACCACAATCATTTTCTAAAAATAGAACTGTAACCAGGATAAGACATATTGGAACAAAAACGTTCTCTGGTTAAAATTATATTAAAAACATAAGCTTTTGACTATCAGTCTATAGCCTTTAATGAATGAAAAATGTGGTGTGCAAGCGAAAATATATACGAATGGGGTGCGAAAAAATTGAGAATAAAAAACAGGCGTGAAAAAAGCAAGAAGATAAAAATGTAAATGAGGCCTGATTACAATAAAATAGAGTATTGCCTAGGCAACGGTTTTGAGTTGTTATCCGCGTCAACGGTTTTTGCTGTATGCCAAGATTCTAGTGTTTTTCGAACGCGGTAATTGCCTTTGTCAATGACACAAGCATTGTCGAAATCAATGGAGTGATTG